CCACTCACTTTCCCCTGTTTCCGGCCTGCCCCTTCGCAGGGAGTCAGGAAACGCGGTATTGAGGGGTCCCACTCGCTTCGAAGGTCTGGCTGCCGGCCCTCGTCTCACTCACACACATACGCACGTTTCCCACTCCCGCCACCGGATTTCTCACCAGTCCGGTGCTCCTCTGCGTCGCTGTCCTGAGCCGATCCCTCTTGGTCCTGGTAGCCAGCTGTACTCTGAAGATCCAAGATGGCCAGTCCTGAGTCCTCTTGCGGCGTGTCTATTCCGGACGAGCACCCCCAGCTGAAATAAACAAGGGCCAGGAGACTTCTTCTCCTTTTTAATGCCTTTATTAAAAGTGATCAGCTCAGGATTGGGCGGCTCGGCGGGCCTGCAGCGTCCCGTCGTCTCCCAGGGCGACTCAGAGGAGGAGGATATGTGCAGCTCTGTCCACAAGGAGCAGAACTGGGGGAATCCAGTCCTCGTGGGAGCCTTTTGGGCGTGGTATTCCCCGCCAGGTGGTGCCCCTCCCACTCAGTCGGCCTGGTCTCACCGCCGGGGTCGTCTCTCTTGGTCAGGGCGAGAGGGTCCGAAGGTGTTCCGCATCTCTGCAGGCTCAGCATTCGGCTCCTCACGTCCAGACATCACTCCAGTCTCTCAACTCTTAGGTGGCTCGTTGTTTTGGGGTCTTCTCTGTACACCGGGGGACCCATGCTGCATTGTGGTCTTGGAGTCACTTTGCATAGCCCCCCCTCACCTTCTCAGGTCTCTTCACCCTTCTGGGAAAAGAACACCTTAGCCTCGGGCGAGGCTCTGCTAATACAAAAGGAGCGATTAGCCTCAACGACCCGTGATTACAATAACAAAACACGAAGAACTTGGGCAGCTACCGTGCTCTAGCTGCCTTTTTGTAACTTTTTCTCACAAAAAAAATATTACCCGAATTTTGTTCATAACAGATGCTTCCAAACTTCTCTTGAGTGTAACTTAAGCCATATAGGGATTTGTGATGTAGTCACAGGCAAGTGTCCAAGTTATCAGGGTAAATCCAGAAATAAAAAAGCTTTATCAAGACAAATGAGTAAAGGGAAACATATAAATCTAGCAATTGTGTGGCTGGAGCAGTGTAATTCTATAATAAGAGGCAATTTAGGTATGATTTAGCAGCATATAGGCTTCATGCTGAATCTTGGCACAAGGATGAACTCTCTTTTAGTAATCTAGCTGAAGGATAATTTTAAAGCAAAAGCCTCATCTTGGGTGCCATAATTTATTGTATCATGTTATCTTGCTTATACACATCCATTAAATATGACATCATTTCTCAGTGTAGTAAGTAATACAATAATATCCTCTGTTGATATTACTGAAAATGAACATAAAACCAAGGCTGGGTCTGTCATCTGCTGACAGAGCTGGGTCACCCCCACACCTCCACATGAGGATTGGGAGGGAGAAAAATCAGCAAAAGAATTATCACAGCACTCCTTTGTATTTCCCAAGACAAACTGCAGCATTGTGAGGACCTGTAGTGTTGCCCTGTGCTGCAGGGTTTGGGCACCGAGGTACTCACACCTGGGGGCTCATCCTGGGCATGAAGAGGGATGCTGGAATACTTCATGAGCAGTCACAGTAGAGCTCTAGCAGGCTGGGAGGCACCTCCTTTATTTCTGGTCGTGGAATGGGGATGCAAACGTGTCAGGAGTAATACAGCTGCAGCAGATCCTGTAAGGAAGAACGAAGTGAGCTAAGGTGCTCTACTCTGTGACTGTGATGAGGAGCTGCTAATTAGAAACGGGATTTGACAGCCCAGTGCGGAAAGAGAGAGGGAAAAGCAGGAAAGTGTTTTTGAGCAGGGATGCAGCAGGAAAGGAGACGCGAGGTGCATAGGGAGGGAAGAGCTGAGCAGGATTCCAGCTCCTTCCCCGGGAGCGGCGCTGCCAGCGGGTGGCACCGCGGGGCTGCAGAGCCACCGACCCGAGCAAGACGGGCACAGGACAGGCTGCCGTCCCTCTTCTCACGTTTTTCGAGGTGTTTTCTTGAGCGGGAATCGCTGGTGGAGTCCCTCTCTCCAGGCAGAGAAAAGCTACCCTGGGCTGCCACCAGCACGTGTAAACGAAGTGGATCTGCTGCGCTGGGAAGAGAAGTCTCGCAGAGATGATGGTTGTGTTCCAGAGCCGCATTAGCAGAGGATAAAGCTGGTACCCTGCCCAAAGGATGCCATCTGGGCTCCCTCTCCCTCAGTCCTGTGCAAAGGCAGGTTAATTTTACCTCTGCCTTTATACATGGGAGGCTATGCTGTTGCAGCTTTAGTCCAGCTCCTCTGGAAACTATTGACTGCTTACTGAGATGGGATTTCTGTCTGTACTTAGGACATGCTGCTGGTGATGTCTCTTCCTTTCAGTAACACAGCAGTGTGCAGCCATTCTGGCCCGTTTTGTGGTGGTGCTGCTTGACTTCAAGCCAAGACTGGTGTGGCAAGCAGCATCTGAACCAGACATGGTTTTTTTAATACAGCACGTGGATCTCTCATGATGACTACAAAAGACAGTGTGGGGAAGTACTGGGGCAGGGAATTGCATTGAGAGTTACAGTGTAAAGTGAGGACCTAGAAGGATCTGCCAGTCGTTGGAGTCTCATTGACATATTTTTCCCTGGCTCATATCTATCCCCTTTTCTGCTCTCTCAGCTTGGAATCACTTATTTTGTAAACAAAACAGAAAGAGCAGAAGTTTCAGGCTATGTCATTCCCTGGAGTGAAGGCAAGCACACAGAGTGACAGCCTCAGGCTGAGTGTGAAGAATCTTTTCAGGGAAGACAGCTTGACAAGTCCCTTGTTTGCTTCTTCCTCTTTGCTGTAGAATCAAGGGAAGGTTGGTAAACAGTGATTGCACTGCATTCAAAATAAAGACTTCAGGCTACTAAATAGAAGAGGTTAATCAAGGTTTCTGCTTGGCTTTCCCCCTGCTGCATGAGGAGGAGGAGCTGGATCTCTCACTCTGTTCTTCACATCACTCTCTCTTTGGGGATTTTTACTTGCAGAATTTTTCATTGTCCCTTTTAGGGACGTGTGTGAAACCCCTAGGCCTATTGCGAACACCTGGCATTAAATTTGTGCAGCAATACACAGACCTTTATTGTGCAGAGCAGGAGAGGAGCTAAATTAATTCCTAAGCAATGAGGTAAAATTACTGTGAGGAAAGGAAGAACCTTGAGACATGAATACTTTTACAATAGTGTCATGCTGAAAAACGATCAGTGTTGACTGAACTTTTGAGCACAAAGAAGGATGAAAAATGCTTTGTGTAATCAAGTAGCTTGAAGCAAATTTTATAAGAGAGTGAGATAGCATTTAATTTTTTCCACATTTCAGTTTTACACTCCTACATAATTAATACACAGCTGACAGCATTTTTTTTTCTTGTACAGGATGTGTTCCAAATAAGTACAAAGTATAAAACATTCAGGTTTTTGTAATAGCAAAAATGTTTCATTCATTTAAAAGGTGAAACAATCAGAATTAAATCAGGCGTGATGAGTGGGTGCTTTTGGTACCATTTCTACCCAAATTTGTCACTTGCAGCAAGAGGCAAAATTTGCTGTGCTTGTCACGTCACTGTCAGAGGTAACAGAAAACAGAAAACTCAGAGGCACCAGGGAGCACTAGAACTCACCAGCCGTGGAAGGGCCCAGCACCTCTGCCCTTTCTTTTGAGTTCAGGCAGTGAGATCAGCTGCTGCATTTAATAATTGCTAGGCTGAAGGCAGCTGAAATATACTCTGTTTCATGGTCTGTGTTCAGTCTGTCAAAAGGACCTCAGACTTTGCAACTGTTGTGACTGATCCAAGACCAGCCCCTTCTGGGTTTGTAGCCTGCCAGAAACCTCCTGGGCCAATAAATCCATGTTTTGGGGGCTATGGTGCCTGAGGAGCTTCCAGGCAAGGTAAAGCTGCTGAAGCTCAGAGCATCCTGGATACGTGCACTGGCTCACCCCAGAGAAGGCGCAAGTAACTTACCCTGAGCTAGGGAGAAGAAAAAGACAGTGAGAACGCTGCCATTCCTGGTCAGGGAGAGCAGGCTTGTCTTCACTGCAAGAATGGACATTCACACATCAGAACTGCCTCTCTCCTTTCCTTGCCAGCCACTCCAACTGTTGAACTTCCACAGGCTACCTCCAGAAACAAAAATAAGGGCACCAGACCCTCTGACGACATCCAGCATCCCTGGAAGTGTTACCCCATCCCTGAAAGCATCCAAGGTCAGGTTGGGTGGGGCCCTGAGCAGCCTGAGTCAGTGGGTGGCCTCCCTGCCTGTGGCAGGGGGTTGGATGTAGATGATCTTCCAAGTTCCTTCCAACCCAAGCATTCTATCGTTCTGTAATTCTGTGATCAGTTTGGGATGGCCATCAAAGGGGACCCTGTGAGACTCAACACCATGAAAAAAAGCCTATCCAGTGACATTTCTCCTCAGTTTTGGCCAGAACAGAGAGGAATTTTGGAAGGAGTTTAGTGAGACAAAGAGGAATGTTAGATTACACTTTGAAGTTTCTGTGGACATTGAATTACTGGAAGAGAAATAGTAATAGTGATTATTTATCATCAAAGACCAGCATGGACTGCATCTCAGTCCTGAGTTGATTAAAAAGAGACAGGTCTGGGCAGGGGTTACTCTTCCGTGCTTTCTATGCTACCCTTCAGCATTAAAAGCTATATAAAGCGGTAATACATTTTTTAGCAGAAAACCTGACCAGCTGTATAATTTATTCTATCTTTGTATAATTTATTCTATCTTTGTATCACAATGAAAAAGTCTATTTCAACAGTTTATATGTATTTGAGTTATGAAAGGTTGTATGTAGAGATGATAGAAACATATTCAAAACAGAACTGGGGTCATGATTAAATGGTTAACTTATTTCCCAAATGAATGAGAAAGGAAATAGAGTGCTGCAACCTTTTGCTCTCACTTCCTCATGAGAGGAGACGTAGAGGCTGCTCCAGAGAGAGCAGGGCTGCCGTGCTCACACATCTCAGGCAGCCATGGGGAACTGGGTGGAGAATGAAGGACTGTCCATCTTCGTCGTTGTAAGTACAATTTCTGTTGGATTTGTGTCCAGTGAAAAGTTCTGCAGAAAGCTGTGCTGAGCAGTTCTCACTGGGCCAGGGAAAGATGCACCTGAGTATGCAGAAACTGGGGCAGCAAATGCAGGGAAATGCTTCGAGGGGATCATTTTCAAGGAGCTCTCTGGTATTTCAGTTGCTGTAGGCTTCATTGTTAACTGAGAAATGATCGTGTATTAACTTTGCTTTGTTAGAAATACTTTAGCTGAGCAAAAAACTCAACTTTAATGCTCACTTAACTATGTGCACTTCAACAGTGAAAGCAATTAAAACAATCACCCTTTCTTGCACTTTTATGAACAGAAATGTGTCTAACTGAAAGCACAGTGCCTTGATGGTATAAAATATTTATTAATGTCAGATTCATGGGAGAAGAGAGTGGAGATTTAGAGCAGATTCATGAATCCTTTATTAAGACAACTACTATTTGAATTGAATTTGTTTACAGTTTGCATAGAGTGGCTGTGAAAGTAGGTTAAATTAATTCTGAGCAAGATTTAAAAGTATAGAAAATCCCAGTTGCATTCACAAGTGCTAAAGAGTAAGCAGGGCAGTCCTCCTTGGAGAAAACTAAGTTTGTATTCTAGTAGGGATAGTAGGTTTTTTATTTCACATTGTGATACAAGGGCTAAAGGTATACCTCTATACATATATTATGTACATATACATATATCTATTAAAAACATATACAAAAACAAAATGTTTTTCTGTTCAAATACCTGAACCAAAAGAGCAGTTCAGGTATTGTGGCTACCTTTTATTAGTAGATGTAAATATTGAGAGGAAGAAAAAGAAAGCATAGAATTTGTATCTTTTTGGTGACTGAAGTGTGAGCATCTTTATTCCAAGAAGTATTTCTGCTGCTATGAGCAATCAGTACTCGTGCATGACCTTGTAATTTAGGAACATAATCCCATAGCTGTGGTACTTCAGTGCTTTGAAAGGGAGTGACTGTGTGTGTGCTGTCACCTTCAGTGCCTTGAGGAAGTTGAAACTGCCAAGAGGTGAATTCTGGCTTTCTTTTTGCCTTTTTTTTTCCCCACCAGAACTGAAATATTAAAAGAATTAAGTAAGAGGCCTTTATTTTGCTCAAATAAGGAATTCAGATTTTGAACCTCAAAGCTATAACAAGATGAGGGTAATAGGGAAGGAAACTAACAGACATAGAGAAACCAGCTAAAAGGACAGAGCACTGGAAACCCCACCCAAATGTTCTGCTTTAACCTCTCCATCTTCACTGCACACTGAGCAGGCACAGGGCTGTCCAGTGCTTGACAGAAACAGGACAGACACAATTCCTGCTGATGTACCTCAACAAAACAGAAACACACTGCCAGAGTGTGCCACTGTCACTTTTAATAAGTGTCCTAAGCCCTTAATCCTGAGATGAGCTTTGTGTTTTAATGAAGACTTGGGGATTTCCTATATACTGCCTTACCCTGATGGAAATCCTTTAATTTCCCGGTATTTATTTACATTTTCATGATCTGAAATAATCCCAAGGTTTTTTTCAGTGTTATTTGAGCCAAAGAACTAGCAAAATACATGGTTTAGGAGGGGTGAGGAGCTGTAATGTCACCTTTTCTGGGCTTTCTCCCAGTTCTCAGACTTTCTCTCTGTTTTCATGCACCACTTAGTAAAACTACTTAGACTGAGTGCAGTGTTACAAATGTGTTTCAATATGGGATGTGAAATCAGCCAACCAGCTCCAGGAGGGAAAATATCCAAATTCATTATGACCTTTTTTGCCAGATGGACTTGTAGCTGCCTAAGAGTCAATAACATGCACCTCATGATGTGTAAGTGTGAGAAAATTCTGCAGTACATCTACAAAGCCTGGTTTGGGGTAGTGTACATGCTACCAAGGACCTGTGTTGAATATTCCCTGCTGGCTGTTTTCAGACCCTCTTCTTGAATTCAGCCCTATGTGTAATTCAGCCCATCTAAATTTAGATCTCAAGCTTCTCTGTCACAGTTCCCAAGTCTTCCTCTAACACAGGTTAATGTGGCTGTGGAAGGGAACTGCCATTTTGAAGAGTCCCTAACCTTCAATGGTATTTAGAGATTTAACTGGACTCAGAATTAAACAATTATAATATGACAGTCCTGATACAACCAACCCTAAACTCCTTGACCTATGAAAACATTTCAGCTGCACATTGCTCTGTTTTTGTCTATTGCCACTCCTGTACCCTGTGTTCACAAATCAGAGCCTGTTTACACCAGAAAGATTTCTATCACCCTTGCTGAAAACTTTATACCCTGCAGTACATCTCTCTGTGCAAACAGGAGCACAGGGAAGCAACTGAATGTTATCTGAACTGTGTAAATTCAGATGGAGTACTTCTAACAACAAACTGTAAGCTTCCTGTTTAATTCTCTTTCAGCTTGTGTGGCTGGGCTTAAATGTCTTCCTCTTTTGGTGGTATTATCTTGTGTATGATGTCCCACCAAAGTTCTTCTACACCAGAGTGCTCCTTGGCGTAAGTACAAGACATTCTTGTTCTGGCACAGACAGAGCACACAGCAGTTTTTAATAGTTTTAGCTGATCAAAACTGGATCTGGTGGCTGGAGCAGCAGGCTCATGTAGAAGTCACATGCAGGCAGATAACTGAATGCAGGCAGATGTTCAGTGCTTCTGAACAGAAAGCTGGTGCACAAAATAGAGAGATCCCATTCTAAAGATGTTTTCAGTTAACTATTCTGCTACTGGTAATTAAATTAAGTGTTAATTGTGACTATTTTATTAAGCAGAAGATTAATAAAATATTGCTGTTGAACTGTTATGCAGTCATTTCTCCTTGCAATTATTTTTCAAAGCATGAATAGTTTATAAAGATATTGGCTCTGAAAAGCAGTCATCATTCATATATTCATCAAGAATGTGAATTAAATGATCCTGGATCCTGGTAGTGAAGTGATCCTTGATCCTGGGCTGTTCCATGTAATCCAAGTGGTTAATCCAGCATTGAGTGTCCTACTACAAACTTGCTTCCAAAGCTACCACAGGTCATGACCAATTGCCAGGGAAAATTAATTTGTTCACATATTATAAAACCCTGATCACAGGCATAAAAATCAGCCTAAGCTTCAGATTACAGAGCACAGCATTTTGCTGAAGGTTTGCAAAGCCATGGTTTAATTTTACAAAGCCTGAAATCCCATTCTGCATACGGCTTCTGCTCTGTGGGTCAAATCCTGTCCTCTGCAATCATAGTGCAGTTGCCTTTGAAGTCACAGAGACTTGTGCTTGGATAAGCAGAGCTCAGTGTAAACCCAAACAGCTCTGCTCTAAAACCTAAAAGGGTCTCAATCCATGCAAGGAGAGCAAACATTATTTTTCTTCCCTTCACTGCATTTTTATTAATATGGTCATTTTTACTTCATTTCAAACAATTCAAAAATATTAAATAATTAAGGGTATAAAGACCAACATTAAGGAAACAGATTCCTAAAAGCTGAGGCAACAAATTTCCCTAGACTCCTTTACTGACGGAGAACTTGAACCACTTCTCTTATAAGCTGTCCATAACCCCCACCAATTGAAACCACAGACTCTTTACAGCCTTGGGACACAAAACTCTACTAATGGCTTAGATTTGCCCCTGTGTTTGACTGCTGAATGCCAAACATGGCAGGGAGATTTTTATACAACCATGTTAATCCAAAACTGAAAACAGGAGGTGTCTGTCTGTCTGCAGGACATATTCTGCCTGCTCATGTCTTTCTGCCTTGACCAGAGCATGATTCCTTTGAATATTCACGGTGTAAATGTGAACTCTAAATCTCTCACTCTTTACCAGCTGTGATATAACACATAAATGAAATCTATGCCCTGGATAATGTCTTAGGTAATGCAATTAATAACAGCATTTCTCTAATTCCAGCGTGCTCTGGCTCTTGCAAGGGCCCCTGCAGCCTGCCTGAATTTCAATTGCATGCTGATTCTGCTGCCAGTATGTCGAAACCTGCTCTCCTTCCTCAGAGGATCAAGTGCGGTAAGATGAAGAAAGAATTTCAAAATTTGTGAAAGATATTATCTTTCATATCTAAACAGACTTGCAAGTATACCGAGAAACTGTGCCCAAGTTCCCCAAATATACCATATTTTGAGGATGTCCTTTTATGAGAAGCAGATAAGCCTGGAGTTTGGCTATGAGCAAGACTGAGGTCTAATGCCCGTGGGGTATCTAGAGCTCTGTTGAGAGTTTAGCTTTGAATTAGTCTGAGTCCTCCCTTTCCAGCTGCCTCCTGGGCATGGTCATGCCCTGGATGCAAAGTCCTTCTTTTGGCTGGCAGAAGCTGTTGGTGCTCACACACATCCACTGTTTGTCACTGATGCTACACTCACTTAGAGAGAGAAATATCAGCCCCTGTCTGTCTTTGCATGCTCAGTCTTTAAGGTAAATGTAGTCTTTTACAGACTTCCAAAATGGGGCTTTTTTTCAGCTGGCTCATAAATTACATTCTGTCTTGTCTGAATTGCATTTCCATCTCAGATGAAATAATTCATACACCTTTTGACTTTTTTGAGCTCCCAAATACAAATGTTATACACAGCACTGAGGAGCTGACAGTAAGAAAAGGACAACTTATCCTAAGTGACAGCTGGAGAGGTTTCTGTGATAGTACTGACTATTACACTGCCAAAATCTTGATTTCTGGCTATTACAGCAGAAATAATGCAGACAATGCAGGCCACGGTCCTGCATTAATAGTGAAAAAGCACTATTCTCCTCAAGTTCATGAATTGTCCTTCCAAATGTATAATGATTCTTCCTTTCTTTCTGGACACTTTTCACATAAACATGATCAACAAAACCAGTTCCCAGAAGTTGTTTTTCATCTCTAAACCCAGTCTAAATTTCTTAATGCAAATGAGACAGCCTGCAGGGGCTGGAGAGGCAGAGCAGAAGAGGAAGTGATAAAATAGATGCAGTGTTTCAACAGTCCTTCATAAGGGAAGAAAGTGGGATATGAAGCAATAAGAAAATAACCAGGGACAAAATAGGGTGTACCTCCATCTAGTACATCATACATCTTCACCATGAGTGTGGCTGAATAAATGAGATGTGCCTACCACATTAACTCTTTAATTACATTTATGAGCAAGGCCAGTGCTGTAGCCTTTCTAAGGAATAACATTTAGGAATATAAAATTGGAAATACATGTCAGGCTTTCAGTCTTTTCCTGTACTCCTTCAGATCCTGAGATGCAACAAAGCAGCCAGCCATGCTCTCCATTCATGGAAAAGGAGAAAGGATAGTAAATAAAGCTGTAGGGTTGAAGTTGTTATTCCCCAGGCAGATCAGTAAGTATCAGCCAAAATCCAGAGCTGACTCCTCTGGCAGCAGAAGTTAATAATGAACATAAATTTAGAAAGAATTAATGTTGCTAAGGATGAATGTGACTGGAAAATAATGATGAGCCCATGATCATATAAGGCATTATTGAGATTGCGCAGGTGAAAGCAAGCTGGGCAGAGGACTTCTGAGCTCAAAGCAGTGAAAGAGCTAGGTGCACACATGGAGACTACTGGAAGGCCAAAAACTGATTCTGGGTGTTGAGAATTGTATTCCAACTGGGACTCTGTGCTACTTGTCCTGAATTGCTCCTCTCCTAGCATGCTTATCTAACTCTTCTAACCAAGGTCTTGGGAAACTGTCCCTCTTTGTATTCAAACTAGTCAGTCCTTCTGCCTTGGGCACTGTGGTGGAGTCACTCAGGCTACACCCAGATAAAAGTGAGTCCCAGGCAGGGAGACACAGCTCCATTCCTGCTGGCAGCACGCTCTCCTGCTGATGGCTGGGAATGAGGAAGCAAAGGGCTCTGAGGGTGAGCAAGGAGGGCAGGGAGGGGTACAGAACAAGACTCTTAGACAGCTAGTGTTTGTTGAGCTCCAGTTGCTTTTTTGCAGTAAAGCTACACCTCAGGAAGGATGCAATTTTAGATCTTCAGCAAAAACACACAGTGAGCCACTGGCAGTGACAGTGCTGTGGTGGCCTCAGCACAGGGGGACAGCTGCTTATGCTTGTTGTGCTGTTGTCTCTGATTAGCTATGCTCTGCAGGTAACAACTGTGAGGATCCATAAGAAAAATCATTTAAATGTCAAATAACTTATTGGAAGAGAAGTGACCTTCCCAACAACAATGTCATTGGGGTCAAGAAGAGGAGGGAATTGCTCAAACACAGCGTTCAAAGGGAGTGTACAGAAAAGTCTTGCCCTCTCCATCCTGCCACCCAGAAATCACATGTTACGAAGTTATTTGTAATAACTTTATAACTTTTTAATTGAAAAGATAGCTGTGATGTGTTTTGCATGTCCATCATTGCTGTATTCACTGCTGTTAATGGCCACATGACTGAAGGCAGCTGGAGCCCTCTGCCATTGCTTGGTCTTCGTTTCTAGGATCAAGTGGTGTTTGCAAGGGAGTCAAGCACTGGCTCACCATTCTACATTTTATTCTACAATATCTTTTACTGTTTCTCAGTATAGGTGATCCAAAAAGGCCAAATTTCTCCTGGTGTTATTATAGTCTGAAGTGATTGTGGCAGACCCAGAGTGTTTATCTCTTGTGAGGAAATACTTGTGGTAGTTTGCACAGTGTTTTGTTCCCTTATCCAGTCAGCAAACACAATGCAAACATACAGCACATGACAGTCATGCCTTCTACTGTGTGGAGACAGCAAATGGCAGCTTTACAGGGACCTAAGGCTTTAGGGAAACTCCCAGTGTCTGCAGCAGAGTTCATATGGGGTCTGTTATGAACCCATCATCAACAGTAATAAAAATGTCATTCTGTTTTTCTTGAGAATTAATTTCTTTGGTTTGTATCTGCAGAGATTTTTGCTGGAGTTTTTTTGGGTAACTCCAAAATCAAGTTGTAAGTGAATGCCTGGGAAGTAAATCCAGTGCTTTGGGGAAGGAATGCCTTCGTATCACTGCCGTAGGTGATATGATTTGGGGTGGGAGCTCCCTGAGACAGTTACACCCAAACTTTGCAGCTTGTTTCTAGATTGTGACCCACAATAGGATCCTGGTGCTACCAAAACAGTCACTCTGCCATGGCAGACTGTGATCCCTCATTTTGTTTATAATGTACAATTTAAAACAGATAAGATGTATTCCATTGTCACACTGGATGTTAAATTTTTTCTCCTTATCAAATAGTTTGTTTCAGGGGGACATGTTAAAACATAATCTGGGATTCCTGTTTTCTGAAAGACGGGGGGAAATATTTTGTCTATATTCTGGAATTCTGGAATTCTACATTTTTCCTAGCAATGTCACCAATATGCTCAGGGCTTCTGGTTTTGTCCTTGCCTTTAAAAATTGTGCACAGACAACACAAATAATCTTCAAATATCTTTTTCTTTCCACCCAAAGTGCTGCTTGACCCGGATCAGGCGACAGCTGGACAGAAACCTCACCTTTCACAAAATGGTGGCCTGGATGATCGCCCTTCACACTGGTTGGTACTCTAATGTTTCTGTGTTTGTTGCTTTCTTGTGTATTTTATATGGAATTCAGGTGGCATCAAAGTTCTTAAGGATATGGGCAGAGACCTGATTTCTTTAAAGGAGTCAGTGTGTGCCAAGGCTTAAATCAGTTTCCAGATATGTGCCAACTGTCAGAGAGCAAAAGATAAGAAAGAATACCTTTATTTTGAACTGTCAGTACTATTTATGATAGTTTAATACAGGGTGTTTAGCAATGTCCTGAGAACTGGATACACTGGATTTCATTCTTTTTTAGGCTTTCTTCTTATCTGCCATCTAAAACAAATAATACAAATTCTTTTTTAAATAGGATATAAAAACTTGGACCTGCTTTGAAGATAATAGGTATCTACTCATAGAAAGTGGTTCAAATTTTGAAAAGCATTGTACAATTTTACCCTACAAAAACGTGTAGTGGAATTCATGTGAACACCTCAGCTGGTTTAAGTTTTCGGATGCATTCAGCTCAGTGAGAATATTACTGATGATTATTAGCAAAACTGCAGAACAAAGCAGCACTAACAAATGTGACCCCAAACAAATCCAGATTCAGTTCTTGGCTGTTTTACACAAGTACTGGATGAGGATGATCCTAACAAATAGTTTAAGCCATTCCATGTTTCAGTATCCCATTTTTTAGGGCACTACTACTTGAATTGTTGAACAAAAATATACTGAAAATTTCCCATTACTTCTTTCCCTCCCTCACCCAAAACCTGCAAAATTCAGGTGGTAAAATTTTAACAGTAAAACATCAGTGATCTGCAATTGTGATGAAGATGGCAAGAGCAGCAGAGCCCTTAAGCAGCAGCTGATAAATGTGACAAAGTTTCAGATGTTACCCCAAACCACCCAGTACCTCTGGTCAATGCTGATTATTCCTCTCCTGTCACTCCTAGCAATTCACACCATTGCACACTTATTCAATGTGGAGTGGAGTGTGCAAGCCCGTGTTGAAGAGAAAGGCACCCTGGCAGCTGTGCTTTCAGGCCTTGGGGACAAACCAAAGGAAAGCTATGTCAACTTCTACAGGCAAACCCTTGCTGTAAGTGACACCAGACTCCAAAGGGTCATCATGGCATTTGTGTGGGTGATCATATAAATCCATTTGGGCAGAGTGCCTATTTCTGGTCTCCACAGTCTGGGTTTGGGGCATCTTGCAGAAAAAACCTTGTGGAATTCATTTTTCTATATTTGCCAGTAATGTCATTGCTGAGCTCTGGTAGTACTTAAAACTTTTAAACCTGAGGATTTCAAAGTAGTTTTAAAACATTACGTAAAAACATACCTTGTAAAGCTCTGTGCTTTGACTTAGACATGGCACTCAGAAGGGTACACAGAAGTAAAGGCAAGAGAAAAGTTTTGAAGTTGGGTAGTTTAAGCTCTGGTGAGTGAGGGAAAAGAAAATAAAGTACTTCCCTGCTTCTCAGAAGAGCACTGAGCCTCCAAACTCTGCATGAGTTATGAGTCCCACAGCTGTGCAACACCAGAGGAAAGGAGAGTTTTCATTTAGCTCCTGAAATATGGATGTAGGACTCCAGTTCTGAGCACCAGAGCTGTGCAAATGTACTCACCTTCCCCAAAACAATCCTGCTGAGCCATGGCAGAGTAAGAAACCATGTTTGTTGTGTTAATTCATGGAAAAAACCATTCTCTCTACTTCCAATTACCTTAGTAAAGGTAAATGTGCTGTGTAACAAAAATGAACAGGGATTTTGGCATCAGATGACTTAAGGACTTATAACCAAGTAAAGGGTTTGGGGAGGGATGGTTCAACTGGCTCTGCTTTGGTGCAACCCCTTCCTTAGACCAAGGTGTGCAATTGTTTCACAGAATCCCATTGGGGGCCTCTATGTGGCTTTCACATACTTGGCTGGCATCACTGGGGTTGTCATCACGCTGGCCCTCATCCTCATCATCACCTCATCCACCAAAACCATCCGGAGATCATATTTTGAAGTATTTTGGTACACCCACCATCTCTTTGTCATCTTCTTTATTGGCCTTGTCATCCATGGTGCTGGGTGAGTATTTGCACTTATCACAAAATATCTGATAACCACTGAATCTTTATTGAAAGGCCCCTTCACACATGAGTAGGGGGGCTTCTGTCACTGAGCAGCAGCTGGTTTTGATGGCAGTGATGGGCCAGTAGAGGCTTTGAGAGTCAAGAAGCTCTCACTGATACTTGCATGTGACTTCGGCACACTTAAGCTCACTATCACTCAACTTCTGATATCTTAATTGCAAAACTCTTTTCCAAGGTTTCTGTTTCTAATTGTTAATTTTCCTTCCTCTCCTAAAAGGAATTGCATGTAAGGAGATATCCATGTAAGGAGATCTCAGTATAAAAATTACATAGAGTCTAGAATTTTATTGGATAATGAAAACTATAGTAATATAGATTTATGTTTCAGGCTTGGATGAACTTGTAGTATCAGCAGCATTTAAGAATAGAATTTTAGCTGTTTCAACTTAGAAGTAGGTATTTGTAAAGTTTTCTACCTTTCAAATGCCAAACATCTTTTTCTGCTGTTGCTTCATTTCATATCTTCTTCTGAAAGAGGTGAAAAGCCTAATGAAACAGTTTTAGCACTACACAAACACAATTTTAGCACTTAGAAAAATGAACTTTAGATCCATTTTATAAAAGCAAAGAACGGGTGAATAAAGAAAAAAGACTCAAGTTTTCAAGCTACATTTAAATAGTTAACAATTACACTACATTGCCCATTTTAAAGGAAGTCCTACATGCAATAGAAAGTGTGCTTTAAAAATGCCCAGCAAAAATGACTATTCAAAACCACTTCCTTACAGTCCATTAGTGCCACTAGAAAGACAGAAATCAAAGTAAAACAGGAAGAACAAAAATAGAAGGCAGATGGGAATCACCCCCAGCATATTTGTTCATTCCAACTTTCATAACAAGGAAACGGTTTGAGCAAAACTTGTGGAAGGAAAAAAACAAGAGGTTCATGTTTTCTGCAGCAAACATTGTATAGTTACTGACACAATGTCCAAACTTGCCAGTAATTACTACACAGTGCTATCAGAAAGAAAGCATTTCCCTTTCCAGAGGTCAGTGGAGAGCATATATTTTTGAGCATAAAAGTTGAATTTTTGTTTACTTCAGTGTTCCCTGTACTCCCACCATCTTAATTGTACTGGAATGAAAAGGCAAGAGTTTGGGCAGCAGTGTTGTCAGTAAAGTTCAGCTATCCTTTGGAAGCAGATATAAACGGGAATATTCTCATCTGTAGAGGAAAGGATGCTTTCCATCTGTGAACTCAGTGACCTCACTTATTTGGCCTTCAAGGTAATAATGAGCAAATACACTGACAAATATGAGATGGGCTTGTTACACTCATGGAAGGCATCTCAAGTGTGCAAAGATGGATGTCATGGAATGAGTATGAACTGAGAGTCTCAAAGCAACATGTTAGGAAGAGACATAAATGCCATTTTATCTCAGGGGCCAGAAGGCTGTCACACATTCTCATTAATCTCTACAAACACACATCTTTGTATACACAGAAAGCTGAGTCAAAGGTTACTGATAGCATCAAAGGGGCAGATTCAAGAAAGATGGAGAGAGACTTTACAGGAGCACAGAGTGACAGACAAGGGGGAATGGCTTCAAACTGAGAGTAGGTTTACATCAGATAATAGGAAAAAATTCTTTACTGTGAGGATGTTGAGGCACTGGCACAGGTTGTCCAGAAAAGCTGTGGCTGCCCCATCCCTGGAATTGTTCAAGGCCAGGCTGGATGGGGCTCTGAGCAACCTGGTCCAGTTAAAGTTGTCCCTGCCCATGGGAGAGTGGTTGGAACTGGATGATCTTTGAGGTCCCTTCCAACCCAACCATTGTCTGATTTAATTCTCTGACTCTACAATAGTTCTTGTCTGTTACAAGCTGTTACAGCACTTTTGAAGCACTGATGGTTTTTTGTGCATGAGCTCTGTGTCACAGACAAATGTCCCAAATTTCCCAACACAGTAAATGTGAAGAGGAGAGGGCACAGAGGTGCAGTTCACTCTTTTGGAGTTTAAAGAAAACCTTCAGCCCAAAAAGAGGTAGCTATAAGTCTATACTGCTGAAAGCTTAATTACAGTACTAGAAAGAGCATCTACGCTGACTGATAAAGGGAAATAAACTTTTTTTTCTCTTCTACATGGTACTGACATTGTCAAACCTTTAATAGAGCATAGAGCAGGGCAAAAACCCTCAGACCCCCTTTCCCTTAAGCAATGGGGTGGGCAGTGGGGTAAATGAGCTCCTCCTGTTCCCATAACTGATCCCAGAGGTGGCTCAGCTGAACCCCCTGTCATTAGTGGGGAAGTGAAGTGCAACTGCTGATGTTCCTGCAAATTGCAACTCGTGATGCTGCTGGAACACTGCCACTGCTTCCCTTTATTTTTCAGACAGGATATTAATCAAACATTTAATGAAGAAGAGGTTCATTAGTAATATTTATGAGCAATATCTTATCTCTCAACCCTGCGCAGAGGTTTTGTAACAATTCTCTGAAAAATGTCACACAAAGCTAGGCATGAATATGGCTTATATACCATGGGGTTCTTTGAAATATCAGAAATGCTGTATAGTTCACTGACCTTGAGCAGGAAAGAGAAGTCATGGGGAGAAGATATCAAAGGATCACATTGGCATAAAACTGACTAGCCTGTTCAGAAGCAGACTGTTTCTAGGGAAAATTCAGCAGATCTTAATCTGAAATTTTTTACTAAGATCCTGAGGTTGGCAGAACTCCAGACAGAGGCAGGAAGTGATGAAAAAGAAAAGGCTTTTGCCCCTTGAAACTGAAATTACCTCTCTGCATCAGTTCTGCTCCTGGAAATACAGCTGTACTGAGTCAGTTAGGATTCTTTATACTAAAACAAACTCCAACAAATGAATAAACAAAAAAACAACCAAGCAAGAAAATTGAGGCCAGAGAATCAGCTGATGTAAGCTGCAATAGCTGCTTGTGTCAAAAGCATCTGCATTCATTCATAGCACCTGAGCAGCTGCTCCACAGCATTAGAGGGAGAGGAAGAGCCAAAGGAAGAATATTTTGTAAAGAGATCTCCAAATTTCTAAAATAGACAGCAGAAATAATCTCTGTAGTGGTCAGTAGCAAATTGACCATTCTAGATTTTGGGTTTTGTTTGTTTTGTTTGTTTGTTCTTTTGGTCAGGTTTTTTTGGCTTTTTTTTTTTTTTAATTGAAGAAAAAAGTAGGATAACTCAGAAAAGAATGAAGCTTTCTAATTGTGACCACATCCTGGAAGTGGTAATGGACATAACTCTCAGTTCCTCACCTAACCTTGAAATCAGGATTTTATCCCACAAACTTCCCTCCCCATTTTTATTTCTTTAATGATAACTTTGTGGGTAGATTAGAGCAGTAAATCTGTTTCAAAGCTGTAGCAGTGCAGAAATTGACAACTCCATATAAATAGGGTGATGTACATAAATAGAGTAACAATAAGGAACAGATACTTTCATTTTAATTTCAGTGTCTTCATGACCTTTATTTTTTTCCCAGTCGTATTGTGCGGGGACAGACAGCTGAAAGCCTGGCTGAGCACAACCCAGAGATTTGCTACAAGAACTTCACTCTCTGGGGCAAGAGTGAGGCTTGCCCAATCCCCCAGTTTTCAGGGAATCCTCCTATGGTAAGAAAAGCTGGCTTGTATGCAAATCCAATTGAAATTGTTTACAGTTTTCTATTTTTTCTAAATTGCATAGAAAACCAGCTATATAACCCTCAGCACTCTTCAGTGGCAGCTTTCTTTGCATGAAGCAAGAGGTTTGGGCACAGTGGGTTGTAAGCAGAAATGGACTCCAGACAGGCTACACACTTCCAGTGTGCTGTAAAATAAGCACAGTTGTCAGACAAAGCAAAAGAGCAATTGGTATCTGAGAACTTTTTATCCAAAAAATAAATTGCAAAGTAATGGTTCCTGGGGATATCTAGAAAGCGCTATAATGCTCATAATAAATAGTTTAACACTATTAATGGACTAATGATCATTAGCAAGAAAATAACACCCCTGAAAATGTGAATTTGAAACTTCAGCCTTTATTGACTAACCAGGCTGTTTTTTCTTTCACATTTCAGAGTGATCTGTTAACAGAAACCACATCTTTTCCTGCAGTTATACAGACCTGAGTCAATAATACCTTAACACCACATTGCACTTTGTTATATTCTTTTTCAGACAAAAACAAAATTACTTGCAGGAAAACACCTTGCTGTAACTCTAGTAGAAACTAAAAAGCCAGCTGCAGCTGTCAACAAAGAAAGAAATTCCCCCTCTGACCAGAATTTTGAAACTGTCATATATGTTAAGGATTCCCTAATCTGGTTAATAAGAAATACAGATTACATGAATTTCACCTCTGCTTATAGAATTTCCAGATTTTGATTTGACCTAAGTTGCCATCTCATCTAGTGGAAGGTGCCCCTGTCCACAGCAGGGGGGTTGGAACTTGATGATCTCTAAGATCTCTTTCAACCCAAACCTTTCTATGACTCTGTGATCTTCATGTTCTGACTTGTTTTCTTTGCTTACAGACGTGGAAGTGGGTGGTGGGTCCCATGTTCCTGTACCTGTGCGAGCGGCTGGTGCGGTTTTGGAGGTCACAGCAGAAGGTTGTTATCACAAAGGTAAGTGATAATGACCTGTTATCACAAAGGTAAGTGCTGATGCTGCACTTCACACCAGGCAGAGCATCACCTTCTTCTCCAAATGGTGCAGCAAAAGCAGAGGCTCCTCCATACCCAGGTTATCAGTGGAAGGAATGCTCTGACTGCTGTCATGATGCCAACATCTAACATCCAAATGTGGCCTCTAAAAGTGAGCAAGAAGAAGAAGTCAGCTAAGGCACAGGATTGAATCTTAGGAAAGAAATTAATTTTCTTTGTATTGGGTGAAAAAATCCCACAATACAGAAGTTCCATAGACTTGAGAATAAATTAAGACACAGAACAAATGATCCCTGAACACAAGTTCAGAGCATATTTATTTTATGTATCTGAATCTAATGTTGAGCTTCCATTCCCATGGTGTGCTGCAGAGATACTAACACTGCTTCTGAAATTCTGACAGCTGAATTAGCACAGAACTGAGCTCAAACTTATGAAAACCATCCTGGCCTTTCCCAGTATAATTTCCTCACACGGCACTGTGCTGCATCCTGAGGACACAGCCTGTTCAAATCATAGCATGGTTTGGGGCATGACATTAGGTGCTTGTACTGTGCTCTATAATGATGCTGACACATTGGAAGGCTCCTAAATATTTGTGTGCTTTTGGTAATCTTACCAAAATATCCTGTGAGCCACTTCTACACTGTATTTCTATGGCGTTTGTTTTGTGCCCTGTTGGCAGAAAACTTCCTTCACCATCCTAAACACCACAGTTAATACCTAAATTAACAGACAGAGAGACTTGATTCTCCCTCTTGCAAATCTCTCTTGAAAAAGGAAAATAATTTTGGCAGACAACTTTAGGATTAAAAATTAGAGTGACCAAATTACTGGTTTTACTTCTAGAAGGTTGTTTCTAAAGAATAGCCAAGGTCCCACCTGACTAAAACAAGAAAACATCAATTTCCAGCGGTACTACCTATCCAATATCTGTAGGATAGCCCTGTGATTTTGCCCCTATAGTTACAGTCATTCCTGTAAATTCTGTGCTCTGTGCCAATGGGTAAGGTCCATCTGGAATTAACAATGTGCTCACACAGATCTGGTGATGTGTTACAAGATTGGCCAGCCTGGCCTGTCCCCTGTGGAGTGACTGCAAGTGTGGTGTGAGAAAATACTTTAACCAAAACATCAGCATCCTCTGCAGGCTTTCATCTGCCTGTCAGGTGCTGTTGCTCACTCTCAGTTCTGCTGGGAAGAAAGTTTCACCTGCTTTCCTTGCTCTTATAGCAGAAATGATGTTAGTGATGGTGGATGTAAATACATCAGTGAGGACAGACATTTTCTTTTCCTTATTTTTCCCGATGCCCTTCTCACTGTAGGTGGTCATTCATCCTTTCAAGACAATTGAGCTCCAGATGATGAAAAAAGGCTTCAAGATGGAGGTTGGACAATACATTTTTGTCAAATGCCCAGCAGTGTCTAAACTGGAATGGCATCCATTTACACTGACTTCTGCCCCAGAAGAGGATTACTTCAGCATTCACGTCCGAATCGTGGGAGACTGGACTGAGGGCTTGTTCAACGCCTGTGGCTGTGATAAACAAGAATTCCAGGAGGCATGGAAGATGCCCAAGTATGTACAAAGAGTCAAAAAACGCCAATGGCAGTTTAAATATTGCTCAAGAAATTTGATGGCACCAGTGACACCAACATTGAATGGTGACACACATGTGGGTCTTAGGTGCCTCTTTACAGTTTTTTCTATCAACTCCACCTCTTCTTTTGCTGACTAGTATTCAGTCCAAATTTGCACTGTAGCAGACAAATACCTTTTAACTGTCATTATAAATGGTTTTAATAAATATGCACTGCTGATTTAATAAGCATACTTTCAATTCCAGGATAGCTGTGGATGGCCCCTTTGGAACAGCGAGTGAGGACGTGTTCAGCTATGAAACTGTGATGCTGGTTGGAGCTGGAATAGGGGTCACCCCCTTTGCATCTGTCCTCAAGTCTGTCTGGTACAAATACTGCCATGATGCCACCAACCTAAAGCTCAAGAAGGTATTGTGTCCTCTTTCCCAGACCCCTGTAATTGTTCAAGGGCCAAGGGCCCAAATCAAAGCAGGCACAGCAAAGGTGATCTGGCTCCAGGCATGCATGAGTCCTAAAAGAAGGAGGAGTTCAGTTGACTCTCAAGGTTAGCAGGAAGAAAACAGGAGGCTCTAAAGCAAAAATATAATGAAAGGAGAAATAGCCTGCAAGCCAAATCACACATGCTAATCCTGACTGTGGCCCTGGGGAATTCCAGTTGCAGTGGTGTTATGGTTTAGGCCTGGCAAAGCCAAGGCCCCCATAAATATACCTTTTACCTGATATCTGCTGTGAGATGTGGCCAGGAAATAAGCAAAGCAGGCTCCAACTTAAACATAAAGAGAAGTTTATTAACTAAACTACACACACAATTACTAAACTACACACACAATTACTAACCTACACACACACAGGGAAAAAAACAAGGAGAATGAGAACTACACAGAAACACTTCCTTATCCTCCTCCCACCAAATTCCCAAACACATTTACATTTCCCAAAAAATTATCCACACTCGGTCTGGCACCACCCTTTGAAAAAAAAAATCAAATCTTCAGCTCATAAGGGATAGACGGAGTCCTTCCTTGTGCCACGGACTTCTTGTCACAATCAGCAATCCGCCCGGTATCTTGCTACCTCGTGACATCTCCTTTCCATGCCGAGGTGCTCTCACCACCTGGCATGGGATGGGGCAGGGGCCTGCCTTCAGGGCCTTTTAAGAATGCCTCGTCTCGTTCCAAGCAGAGTACAGTCACAATCCTGGGACCTCTGTCCCCCCCATGTCTTCTATACCCCCTGGGGCCGAGGGGTCTCAAAACCAAACTCTCTTGACGCCGAGCCTCCGCTTCCCCCTGCAATACAGCCTCTGCCTCACCAGGAAACAGTCCATGGAAATACAACAAAAAAGAGTCCAGCAAAAACTGCCACTCCATCTTCCTCCATTCCTTCAACATCTCTCTTCTCCCTTTGCCAGACCCTCCTTACTGGCCTAATTTTCTTCCTTCATCTTCCACTCCTGTCCCTTTCCCAGGAAAGGCAATGTTCTGCGAAGCCTTCATTCCCCAAAGGGTTAAAAGGTTTCCCAGGCGGCCGGACTGCCCGCTGCCCCCCCCCTTTCTCCTCCCAGCCGTGCTGCCTGCCGGCACATGATATCAAGTTTCAAGATATACAGTTCGAGCACGGGCTGCATTCTCTGGGGGGGGGAATAAACTGGTCGCTCAAGGGTCTGCCACCCTTCCTCCGAACCCGGGCCTACCGTAGATGGCCCACGTGGCTCTCCCCTCCCCCAGCCCAGCCAGAAACTGGGCCGGGGGAGAGACTTCTTCACGCCGGAAATCCCAAGAGGGCTCCGAAGGCCAAGAGCCCTGCTTTTAACCCCTTGAGTTCGTAGTCTCAAGAGGCGGATCCAAATGTCCCACTGGTCAAACTAAGTGCCCATCTTAAATTCCAATTACCCATTGGTAATCACAGCAAAACAAAATATCCCAGATGTCCCATTTCCGGTCAAACCACGACAAGTGGAAATGGTGTTCCTTGAGAAACATAAAGTTCAAGGCGCTAATGCAGCCTGGGGAAATATTGCATTCCTTCCCCCAGCACAAAGAGAAAGGCTTTTCATAAGTAGAAGTGCAATGGAAGCATCCTCCTGTCCCCTCCTGCCCCTGGAAACTCCCTATGCAGAGGTGTGGGGTCACACTTTGCAGTTATGGCCATATTCAGAGAACAGAACTGGTTTTTTTACCTACTTTATCTTGCCTGCCAGCAGACAGAAAGAGAGTTCACCTCTAAATCATTAATTTATATCCTAACAAACCATTTTACAAGGAGATAAGTGGGGAAACATTGAGAACTAAAAATGTAGAAGAGAAACAAGAAGATATGTCCTTGTTCTTGCAGTCAGTCATTCAGCTTTATAAACCCTCTCAGCATCAAAATTCCTGAATACCATCCTACCCATCTACTGAAGTGTTCAGGACATTTTTTACCAGAACTCTATAATCCTCACTCTGTCAGCAGACATAAACCTGGAAAACGTAAGTGCCTATGTCCCCTGACAGCTCATTCTTGTCTCTTCCAGATTTATTTTTACTGGCTTTGCAGGGACACTCATGCCTTTGAATGGTTTGCTGACCTCTTGCAATCTCTGGAGGCTCAAATGCAGGAGAGGAATAATGCAGAGTTTCTGAGCTATAACATCTACCTTACAGGCTGGGATGAAACTCAGGTAAACACACAGTGGGGGATATCACTGCCATAAAACTGAGTTTGATGTTAGAAAATTTCTTCTCATAGCTATTCAAATGGTCTTTTATCCTGGGCATCCACCTGACTCCCAGAGGTTTTGTCTGTGTGCAGACAGGTGTTATCCATCAGAAGTTACCTGGGATCAGCTGCTCATGGGCACTGATTTCCTTTCTGCTTTCCTCTGGCTCTGTGGGAAGCAGGCTTTGTTCACAGGAGGGACCTCAGCTGACCATGTGTGAGTCCTTAAAGCAGCTGATGTTGCCTCAAGCATGTAATTAAGAGCTTCAGGAACCAGAGAAGCCAATGCACAAAGCTTGAACCATGACAGCATATTTGTTTCAGGACTCATGAGTTCTCTAGTGCTGTGCTGGTTGGTTGCTGTGGGGATGCAAAGGAGCAGACACTTGAGAATGTGGGATTGAGTCAGAAAAGGCTCTCACTGTTACTTTTAGTGATGTTTTATATTGCGTTTATCTCACCATTGCAAAATTCACCATGTGCCCAAAGTGCTGTAGCTCAGCTAGATAGACAGGGAGGGGAGCAGCAAGGAAGTTATCACATATGGAGCATCAAAAAAAGAGAAAGGAAAGAAGAAAAGTCCCACATTTATTTCCTTGGGGATAAAGGTACCTGGAACTTTTTTTGTCTCATATAAAGGGGCTACAGAACTCTGTAAGGCCTGAGCTTATGCCTTTAACCACATCTTCTCTTCCTTGCTTTACATAACTTATCTGGTCTAGCTGGAAGTTACACAGGCAAGGCCTCCTCATATGGATGAAACCTCCCAGAGAACAAACTGGCAGGATTCCATTATGGTCAAGGGAGTCATGCTATTGCATTTGAAGGGAAAAGATTTTTAATTTGCAGCCCTATGTTAGAGTTCTTAGACTAAACCTGTTCATTGAAAAAACCTACAATTAATTGCTGTGTTCAGGTTTCACAGCTTTAACTCTTGAGATCACCCAGTCTGGGGAGAAGGAAGGGGTAGACACTGATAGTCAGAATTTTATCAGTCTCACCTTTCCTTGCAAAACACCATAAATTCCATAATCTCATTAGGGAAATAATTCAGTCAGTATTGACATTTTTATTTTTTTAACCAGAACACAATGCTGCTGTATTTATCTGTCCCTTGTCTTTCATTTCCCACAGGCCACTCACTTTGCTGTGCATCATGAAGAAGAGAAAGATGTGATTACAGGACTGAAACAGAAAACCTTGTATGGAAGACCTAACTGGGAAAATGAGTTCAAAACGATTGCGGGGAAGCATCCTGGGTAAACCTTTGCAAATTTGTAATGTCTGTGGATTTCCTCTGTTTAATGGCCATACACACCATAGAGCACAATCTTGTTCCTTTGGCTGATAAAGTTTCAGGAGCATTTTTTTACCCTACCTATCTCCAGGTATTTTCTATTTTTTTTCAGCATGGACATGATCTGTGATCTTGAACAAATTATTTTGACCTACAATTTTTTAAAAAATCATTCATTTTTCACAAAATACTTCTTGGATTGTCTAATTACTAACAGAATATTTAGGAAAAAATAGCCCTATCCTTCCAGCTGAAGTAAGTAGGAGTACCAGGTGGTGTCTAAACATCTTCAAAACCACTTCCTACCTCTAGAAACCAAACCTGAATATGGATGACCTTTAGCTAACCACCCAAAATTTGCAGGATAAAATCAGAATAGCTCCTCTCAAGAATTTGTGCCATAAACTCTTTGAATCTCTATTTCTTTGATTCAGTGAGGTCAATAAACCTGTCTTCACTGACTAAGGCTGAGCTGAGATTTAGCCCAGCATTTGTTTTAGAAGCAGCAATAAGTTTGAAGGGATTATGAGGTTTAGGGGATAGATGTCCAGTTCTACTTCAGTTCCTGCAATTGGGAAAAAACCTTGCATCTCTAGAACATAAAAATGATTTACATGGGGAATATCCAGCTGCTCCATACCAATTTCTGACCATATTTTCATTTTCTTGACAGCTCCAGAATAGGTGTTTTCCTCTGTGGCCCTGAGGGTCTGGCTGACACACTCAACAAGCAGAGCATCAGCAACTCAGAAGCTGATCCACGAGGAGTGCACTTCATTTTTAACAAAGAAAATTTCTAACTCTGAAGCAAGTGGGAGTCATTAGAAGCAAAGTCTAAGGACTGAATCTATTTTTGTGTTTGGAGTCTGGGAAGGACAGCCCAGCTTCTGAATTTCAGCTACACTAACACAGGTCCCTTTGCTTCTTGGGAATGATTTTGGCTCTGTGGTAGAATAAAAGAGTCAAGTTTTACCTTAGGGAAGTTTTCATTGCCCTCTGTGTGCTGGCTATTTAGTAGAAATCTGTTTTCTTAGTCTGTGTGAAGGGATTTCCCCTCAATTAACTGCCTTTATCCTCCCATTATTTGCCAGGACTGCTGAAGAGTGGAGGCTGTCATTTGCTTTTGGGAGCCAATTCAGACCCATAAAGCTTGGTGCTATTAAACAATAAAGCATTCCAGCATAATGCTTGCTATTAGGAGGCAGCTTATCCTGAACAACTGTTTCAACTAATGGAGGTAATTAGGAGTTAATTCAAAGTTCACTTATGGCCTCAGCCTAGGATGTTTTCCTTTCCTTGTACAATATTTTCTCTGCCTTCCCAAGGGTAGTCTCTGAAATAAGCAGTTTGTTAATTCCTCAATATCCTCACTCTCCCCTGGAGCAAGGGGAGTTGCAAATGGGTGGCTGAGAAAATTAGTTCCTTACAAGAGCAAAACTCCTTTGTACACCAACACCTTCCAGGCTTCCAACATAAGTCTTAAATATCATCTTCAAGAGAGAGCTCATGCAGCTGAAAAGGAGCTGCTTCTCCTCAGGAGAGTGAAGAACTGAAAAGGAACCACCTGGTCTTCTGAGAACCAGCCCAGCTGCAGAGGGGTGGCAGGGACAGACTCAAGTCCCACACGTGGTGTGTGAGTCACTGCTGGCTGCTTTGGACACCCTCACTCTCACATCTTCAGGCTCACGGTGCAGGGAGCCATACAAGAGGAGGTTCAGTGTTTCCAGGATTGCCATTTCTGCTGTCCAAGGCTGGAAAAAGCTGTTGCTGAATGGTTTAATGGGTGATTTCTGAAGCACTCTGAAGTGCAAACAGTGCCTTTGGCCCCATTGCTCAGCTGTTCCTCTCTGAGGTGGAACAGGCTTTGAGCAACCAATGGTGACTTCATTCATTTATGGAATAGCTGTGGGTAAAGTTTCTGATGTGCACAAGACTCATACAGAGCATAGTGCCTCTGTGTGCACATAACAGGTGGCAGGTTCTTAAAAACAAACCAAAAAAGGGAACCAAAACTTTTAATACTGGCAAGAGAGGGGAAAAAAGTATTAAAGCCAGCAGCATAGAAAAAAAAAATTGAAAAAGCAAGTGCAAAAACCTTTGGAAAAGCCACAGTTTAGTATACCATGTCTTCCATTCATCCCAGCTCCCTGCTTTGTGACTTAAACTCCACAGCCAAGCCCTGCAGTGGCTCCTGCGCAGCACAAGTCCTTCCTGGCAGGTTCTTGCGGCCACAGAAGAAAGCTGTGGTCTCCTTCTGCAATTTCAGACAGCTTTGTGCAGCCATCTGGTTGCATGTAGCATATTTTACACCTCAGCTTGCCAGACAGGATATGTGTTCTCCCTTTACAGCATTTTAAAATGTTATTCAGGCTCTGAATGCTACTTCATAAAGGCAGCCTACCAGTTCCTATTTATTAATATCAGTTAACAACAAATGCTGGCAAAGATCAACTCTTGGTGGGGAATTTTCCAGTTCTTTCCCTCAGAAGAACCATATTCAAATCCACATAATTATGTCTGAAACACATCTATTGAATCACAACAGAACATAAGTATAGCCAAAGAAACTTCTTCTGTGGAGTAAATATTGCTACTAAAATATAATAAGCGTCTCGTTCCCTGCAAAGAGCACTGAAATATTTACCCTTGATTTTAATGGAAATGTGATCAGGCATTTATAATCATATAAAGTGTGCAAAGAGGAATTGCAAGGGATCATATGGAGACAGCATATTTGTCATAAGAAGAGTCTTGGAGAGATGTATTTTAATTCACCATTAATTTTCTATACATTGCCATGTTTGTTCTTCAAACATCAGGGATCTTTCCTTATTCAGTCAGTTGCTGTGACATTTCCTGACCAGCTGCACAATTGTACCAGGGCTTGTCAACTTGAACTCAGAAACAGTAATTCTGTGTTTATTAATAAATCATTGTCTTCCTAAAACATATGAAAGAATAAGTGAGAGTTTCTCAGTTTTTTTCAAAAGTTAGTTATATTGATCCTGCTAAAATACCAAGCCATGCACCATCAGTTGTGGTCTGAATATGAATATTTTCTTAAATCTAGGATTCAAGAGTGAAATAAATAGCAGTGAAATATAAATAGAAGAAACAAACTAGTTTGAGTCCTGGGCTACAGGTAATCTTCAAGGACACCCATTTTTTGTGGCCAAATGGCACTGCTTGCAATCTGACCATTGCTATTGACTGGGCCTCTGGCTGAAGAATTCCTCCTTCCGTGTATTATGAAATGTCCTGAAGTCTGATCTCTGCTTCTGTGACAAAAATTTACCTACTCAAATGACAAATGTGCTGCTGAGGGCAAGAAAAGCCAGTTGCTGGATTGTTAAAATAACTGTTTCAACTAATGGAAGCAATTAGGAGTTAAATTCCAAGCTCACTTATGGCCTCAGCCTAGGATGTTTTCCTTCCCTTATACAATATTTTCTCTGCCTTCCCATAGGTAATCATCTGAAACAAGCACTTAGTTAATTCCTCAATATCCTCATCTCCAATCCACTGTACTCAGCCTTACATTTACAGGCTGTGACCCTCTGGGCAGCTCTGGCTCCCACTGGCCTCACCTTTTCTTTGGAAACTGGAAGGAAAGGACAGAAACTGGGCCATGGTCAGATGATGGATTCAAGCAAGAACTTGATATGAGGGGTTCTCATCTCTCATCATACCCCCAGTTCCTTCTCTGCTCCCAACTTGCAAATGGAAATATGAGCAAATGAAATCCAAGTTTTCCTAAGTTTCAGGCTACAAAAAAAAGTGCTGCTGTGTCTGTTCACCATCATGGTGGGAAACCACCCCAGCTGCAAAATAGATCTCCCTCTTCAAAGTCTAGTAAGACTTTCCCTGCTGGGTGGGGATTTCCTGCCTTTCAGTTCTCAGATGGTGGGTTAAGCTAAATTATAAATGGAAAATTATAAATGGAAATAAATAAAAACTAACAAAAAAAGCTGCCTGTGAAATACAATGTATTTTTGGACAAACAAACAAAAAAATGTTCAAGTCTCCGTATGACACTTTTTCTGAGGATCCTGCTCTATTTTGGAATGCTCTTAGCAAGTTAATGTTGACTGCTAATATTTTTTTAAGTTTCAATGAGTTTTCTTGTAGAATGCAGAGCCAAGTGTCTGAACACATAGTAATGTATGCTCAAAGGAATTTTGGAGCATATATTAAGATGCTGCAGTTGTAAAGATTGGCAGGATCATGATCCCCATGCCTGCAACTGTGTAACACAGCATCAGTTGCACAGGCACAAGCCAGAGCAGTTGCTTGTCATGAACCAGACATTCAATTTTGCATTTGGTACAGTCCTTAACAACTACTGGTCTCATTTACATTCACCACACACAAACCAGCCCAGACTAACGGCAAAAATAATCACAGTGGAGTGGAAAATTGTTGAAAGACTCACTGACAGATTACAAATGCTTTCCAGTCCCATTCTGCAGCTCTGCAGTCCCATTCCCTCCCTCTCCTCTGTACTCTCCTGCCTAGCAAACTGGTGAGTTTCCCCCCAGAGAGCTACCACCGATTTCTCTCTGTCCATTACTTCCACCAATTGCTGCTGCCCCAGCTTCACTTCTCATTCCTTCCTTCTCTCAATCTCTGAAAATTTCCTCTCAATCTCCAGCTCCCACGATGTTTTTTTCCAATATTTTAAGTGCTTGTGTGTGACAGTGTTCACAGGGGTTTTCAGGATGAGGGAAGAGACGTAGATCTGGCTCCATGTTACAGAAGGCTTGATTTATTATCTTATGATATATATATTACATTGTAACTATACTAAAAGAATAGAAGGAAAAGTTTCATCTCAGAAGGCCAGCTAAGCTAAGAACAGAATAGAAAAGAATGATAGCAAAGGTCTGTGGTTCGGACAGAGAGAGAGAGAGCCAGCTCTGCTACGTGTGGTCACTAAATCCAAACATCCACATGAGACCAATCACAGATCCACCTGATGCATTCCACAGCAGCAGATAACCATTGTTTATGTTTTGTTCCTGGAGCCTCTCAGCTTCTCAGGAAGAAAAAATCCTAAGAAAGAATTTTCATAAAAAGATGTCTGTGACACTTGTGTCCAATGGAAATTCAGGGAGAGGCACGAGGGCTTCACCCCAGCTCCAACCACTGCAGTGCTCATCTCACAAACACGGCTCTGCTGCAACCTCCCCTGTCACTGCAAACTGACCAGGGCAGTAGCCACCTCTGGATTGACAAACCAGACTGTTCTGGACCTCTCCAATAATATTTTCTCCTTCTGCTTAATGATTTTAATATTAAGTTCTAAAATGAAAGAAATTAATGAGCTGCTCTGTTCTAGATTTTTCAGCATGTGTGAGCAAATTTTTGTACATTTATCCTGTAAAAAACCCCTTGCATTTGACCTACACTTAATTTTCATTGTTCAGAAAAGAGGGACATGGTCAAAAAAACACCTCACTGCCCCCCAAAATACTGACCCACCTTGCAAATAATGATCATAGCTGGAGGAAGGGATGGAGGAAGGAAGGGCAGTGAAGGGAGAATCAGACCACCTATCTCCCTTGGAAGAGATGTTTTCTTATTCTGGAAGCAATCTATAAAGCAAAATGTCCTGCAAGTAACTCTTTTGTTGATTTTGTTTTATACTTGTAGGTCAGCTGGGTTTAGGGACAGGAAATATGCAAACACCATTCAGCCTAGGTTTTTTGACCTTCAGAACAAACAAATTGCAGAGACCTGTTTGGCCAAGCCATCTTTGAAGTGTAGATACTTCCTGTGTTGGTTTTGTCTTTTTACAGTGTTGTGAGTTAGACTGGGCCCTGCCAAGGTCTGGGATCTGCACTGTGACTCTGTGAGATTCTCTCTGAATGATGAAGAACACTCATAAAATCCAGGTGGAATTTTCCTGGGTGCAGAAATGGCACAGGGAGAGCTGGAACAAGGAAATTGCTGTAATCTCCTTGCAGTTAACAGGCCAAAATGCAGCTGTCAGTACCAGTGTAAACAGCAGGGCATTTTGGCACAGGAATTGTCCAGTTTTATATCACAGG